AGAATGTCATTCTACCATGAGTAGGAGAGCCATGCTTCGGCACGAATGGGCCGGTTCGACCGGAGTGATACCACGGCCTCACAGAAAACCGACGTGAAACAACACTTGCATTGTGTTTAGTCGTGTTAGTGAGGTTATCGGAGGCCCAATCATCCCCCCCCCCTTCTCAAATCTCTCCACTCCCTGAATCCCCAACAATCCTCAAATTCCTAATCCCAAAAGAGCCAGTAGCGCACTTGTTACGCCTCTGGTGTTCCAGGTGTCCATGGGCGACGCCGATTACTTACCATTTGGTGATCTGTCCGCTCGTTTATCGGCTGATCCTATAAATAATGACATAGATACGATACACTTGTACTGTTCGCGAAAACGTAGGGCGAATTAAATCGTCGAGTACCGTCATTATAGACACAATTATAGAACAATAGGTTGCGGTCACCGGTGACCGCTTGGTGTTTGACAGTTTAATAAAAATATACAACGCTACTCTTTCCAAGGGTATCGTAAAAACCGATTAATTTAATTTAATTGTACAATCGAAAGCACTCGAATGTATAAAATGTTACAAATGTGACAATACTACACTTTGATTGACCTAAGAATCAAACTCGATACTTAATGTTCGACATACACTTTCATACCCACTTCTACCTACTGCCCTTCAAACAATAAAACACCTAATACAATATTAGACTGTCTGAGAAATCATTTAGAAAACATATACCTACTGAAGAATTGAGAACCTCCTCCTTTATGAGAAATCGGTTAAAAATGAATCCCCTTTCTTATCCAAATCGTAAATCAATTATACAGTTCAATTCTAAATGACAGCTACAAACTGACAGACATACAGTTTAATTATGACAGCTAACCCTTCCCCGCCGTGTATTAATTAGTTACTGCCGTACACGATGCTTGACAAATAAGTCCCAACATATTTGTAGCGATGAAATGACATGTGACTATTATGGAGTCGTTGTGAAGGCTAATAAAATTATAATACGTGTGTAGTTTAAATTATCACTTTATAAAGCAAATTATAGTGGTTTGCTATGTACATCGTTATTTTCTGTTTTTTTTTTATAGAAATTTGCACACAATTTGAGGGGAAAAACACACCGAAATTCGCGAATAATTTCAAAGTACATTCTTTAATAGTCAATCTATGTGTGTATAGTTTTGTTGGACACGGCGTTAAATTGTAAGGCATGTCATGTATGTTTTATTATTGAATAAATTATAAAAAAATAATAACCTAGTAATGAAAAATTAAACCTTATGTTTCAGTCAGTGTAGTAGTCAGTTTTACTTGATAAAACAACACATAACAACATAACATCACGGCTTTTATCCCCGAAGGGGTAGGCAAAGGTGCACGTTATGTCATAGGGGTCTCATGTAATAGGGGGTGAGCGTATTGCCATATACACAGGGCACAGTTCCAGGCTCCGTGTGCACTTACTGAGATTTTTTTAAAACCTCAGTAGTAGCTACGAGGCAGTCTAGTCCTAAAACAATACATGTCAAAATCTAATGAAAAGTCTGAACTCTAAAGTCATACACTAAAACCCCACTTTCCTACCACCATAAACAGAACAATTTCTCTAACACAAGACAATAATGAAACATTAAACATATTATAAACATACACGACGCAATTAAAATCAACTTAATGCGATACATCAGATCATAACATGGGTCGTTTGTACCCCACACTACTACATATCGGGTTATACGTAACCTGGTTATCATGAGCTCGGTTTGTATGATCTTTTTGAACATTCACCGGTCAGTTTATACTGGTTTTGCGTAGCTTGATATGTACTCAGTATGGTACCGTCGACTACCGTGTATTAATTGGTGGCTCTCCAAACAACGGCGCGATAATGTTTGATTGATGCTGTCGATACCGGCCGTAAGGGTGCGTTTATGTGTGACAAATTTTGATGCGATTTTATAACAGGATTTCAAGTGCTATTTTCGTGAGACATACTAAATTAATTAAAATGTTTTTCGGCTTAACGACAGGCGACAGTCGCTGCGTTGCGGGTTGCGGAATGCTGCTCATGAATATGAGCTTCTAGCATGGCTTGAAACTAGTCGAGTTCCTCGTCAAATAATTACGTGAGTAAGCCGAAAACATAATAATTAAGATTTGAAGTTATACTTATACTAAATATGTGCAGGCAACTCTATGTAAATCAGCGACTACGAGACCACGAAAAAAACTCAATTTAAATTAAAAACAATTATCAATACAGGAAACGTTGCGACTTTAAATCGCAACCTCAGAATGTCTTGCTAAACGCACCCTAAGTTCATATTATCCACAAGGATATTCTGTTACACGCATCATTAAGGGTTGGCACACGTTATAGAGAACATTGGCGGACGGAGGGTTATCAGCACTTTGATTACTGATACGTAATCAACGAGTAATCAACTATTATGTTATGGTAGCCTAGTACCTACCTATGTGTAAAGAGTTAGTTTTGTAATAGTTTTGTAAATTAATAAATACTGTTTTACTAGTCCTTTTAAGTCTTTTTGAGTCCTTTTGAGTCCTCCTGAGTCCTTTTGAGCTCGTTTTTTAGTCACGTTTTCATATTTTTATGTTAAAAGTTTCTTGAGACATCCTAAATTAATTTTTCATCTTCTTCTAATTCACATCGTTGCGGGAACCAAGACAGTTACTCATGTCCCTGGGACGCGCCGGACTTCAGTGTTCCGGCGTCTTCATGGTTGTATCTACTGTAGATCCTGGTGCACAGGAGTTGCAGCGGTTTTTGGAGGTTGTCCCAAAAAAAAACCTATATTAATTATTATGTTCACGTAAGGGGCCAGTAGAATACCAGCGCAAGGCCCTGTCTTGCACATGCTGAACTGGTCCCATTTCACCGCAGACTTGAGACATGAACATGTATCCATCAGTTCCTGGTAATAGAATCTGTACGTGTCACTTGTTTTTGGCGTAAGATAAAGTATTTTTCCTTTCTTTCTTTCTGTTTTCGGCTTACTCAAGTAACTGTTTGACCTGAGAACCTCGAATAGTTTCAAGCCATGCTAGAGGCTCATATTCTGAGCAACATTCCGTGACACGCGACTTTGCGACTCTCGCGCTGCTTCTGATACGTCTATATAAGTTTTCACGATTCGAATTCTCATTTTTCAAAGTATTCATTCATATATGTATGAATTCTCAAAATGTTTGTAATTATGGCGAGCGAACAACCATAATAAGTATATATAATTAGTAGAAAATAAGTATACTTTTCTATTTCAAATTTACGGCTGTACCTAAAAGTTTATTTTATGTAAAATTACTTTGTCGCATTATATAAAGTCTGTAATGATAAATGTAATATGTGTGAAATAAATAAATAAAATACTTAACAGGATATAGGGACTCCTAACGCTAACACAAAAGCCATAGCAAAAACTGGATTTTGCACCCATTTAAAAGAATATACTTAATATAGATATTACTCAGAGTAGTATATACCCACGGAATTATACCCATACCCATGCCAGTAACTCCACCGATTTACAACTTGCATAAAGTTTTTAACAAAACAAATTATGTTACATCACTCCCATCCCAAACTCTTATTCCAAGCATGCCACACAACAATGTTTACTAAAACACAGACCATTGTCAAATAAAAAAAACAATATCATTTATCACAATAAAAGTAATTAAAAATGTCACAGGCAGAGACTGGTCACGCCATCCAGGACCAGACTTAATATGTTAATATGTCTATTAATTAAAATAACGACAATAATTGAACATACGAGTCTACCACGCGAATTTCTAATTAGTATCTGTAATTGTAGGATGAGGGTACTTTATTTAAAGTTATGAATAAAAAAAATTGTTTACACAAGCAAATACATAAAACTGTGTAAAGATTTTTATAATAAAAGTAGTAAAAGTAAATGTGGGAGAGCCATGCTTCGGCACGAATGGGCCGGCTCGATCGATACCACGGCATCACAGAAAACCGACGTGAGGCAACGCTTGCGTTGTGTTTCGTCATATGAGTGAGGTTACCGGTGGCCCAATCACCTTCCCCTTCCCCAATCTCCCCGATTCTTGAATCCCTAACGATCCTCAAACTCCTAATCCCCAAACGGCCGGTAACGCACTTGTAACGCCTCTGGTGTTCCAGGTATCCATGGGCGACACCGATTGCTTACCATCACGTGATCCGTCTGCTCGTTTACCGGCTTATGCCTTAAAAAAGAATCTAGATTACACTGCCTCGTCGGCCAAGTGGTCGCAAGTGTGACTGCCCTGCAAGGGGTCTCGGGTTTGATTCCCAGGTCGGGCAAAGAATTACTGGGTTTTTAAAAAATTCTCAGTTGTAGCAATAGCAGTCAAATCTTTTGAACCCAATTTAAATTCAGCTCACAACCTTGAATCACATTATTCCCGGAATCAATTCCCCACCGAAAAGACGCGGTTACCCCACCATACATACATATGTGTAATCCCCTAATTTGATACTGGTTTTAATTAAACAATTTAACTTAGCGGTCTCGTCGCATCCCCCCATCCGTCCCTATACCCTATCCCTTCGGTATCGCTCAGAGATTTATTACAGACACACCTGGAACCTTTGATGTATAGACCACAAGACATGTGTGATTATCTTTGGGGAAATCGGTGGTAATATTGATCATAGGAGAAAATATTTGGGAACTAATCACTTTCCTGATCATTACTAAATAATTTTGAACCGTAAGTATAATGAAATCAAATCGATATTTCAAACTTCAGTTTCAAATTTATACGGCCACAAAAAGCCATGGCAAAATGATAATTTAGAACTTATTAGAAACTAACTGTTTCGTAAGAACTACACAAAACTTCTTTCTAAAACTCATCGTGACAATCCACAATCAATCACATTGAAACCTGTCAAAGTTTACGAAATAAGGATGTCAATTTGTGTGGCGTATATTTTATAATAATTTATTATTTTGTAATCAATTTACAAACATGATGTTCATTTACGCGTGCACAATCATACTTACGGCAATATGTGAAGTCATTGCCGTAGACCAAAAGGACTTTGCACCAAATGTCGGCACAGTACTGTTCACTGCAGCAGATCTTAAAAAGAAACAATGGAGCAAAAGCGAACTAGCATTGCTAAAGGCCAGAAGGTACTTTCAAACCCTGCTCCCTCCACCAGTGTTCATTAACAACTTCAATGAAGACTACGTCAACATACTACTCGGATATTTCAGAGACGCTTACACTGCTATCAGACGAGAAGCTCCTGACACCGGAACAGATACCATTATGACTACAGCTCTATCTGATGCAATAGGCGGCTACCTTAAAGTTTGGGTACTACCCGTGGCAAAATTAGACTACTATGGAGGCACAGTATCTCAAAATAACGTGGTCAAATTATTCCAATTTTACAATGAGATAAAAAGATACTTAGACACCGATGGTGTCGAATGGCGTGAGCCTGATGAAAAAGTTCTCAACTCCATGACCATCAATGTTGCTCCATTGAAGATAGTATCAAATACCAGAAGCATGAAAGATCCTTGTGATAATTTGGCTTACTTTGAAAAGACTGACTCAGGATTGGCGATACCAATTCCAAATGTGAATTGGAATCAGAGATCAAGTACAATGTTTATACCTCTGAAGAATACATCTTTGATACGGATGAACACTCCGGATTCTTCACACAATCTGATTAAGTACTACGATGCAGCAACAAATTGCATTCAATCTAGTAACCCTAAGGAACAGGAGAAATTCGATGAAAAATTTCAAGATTGGCTCGCAAATGACGTTGTACCACACTTAAAGGATGAGAATTTGTATCTCGCACTTGGAAGTGTACTCTCACTAGTAAACAGAACACGAGATCTTTGCAATAACGTCATTGACTTATACGGTAATAGATTCACCGTATGCGGAAAACCTCCTTCCCATGCATTAGTCGATTTATCATGTAAAAAGATGTGGGTAATATCCATAATACTGCTTATCGAAGTAGCCTGGTGCATACCAGCTTTAATTTACATATTATGTTCTAAAAGATTTCAAAAAAAAGATTGTACAAGTAACGTCTATCTCTTTATAGATAATAATAAGGGCGAAAAAGCAGAGAAAAAAGGCAAAGGTTACTTTAAAGGTAAGGCAAGCTACAGAGTTGAAGATACCTGTACAATGCCACAAGATAAATCCTACACGACATCCAGTAAAAATCCGGAAGTAAAATTACTTCGTAGATCTGAGTTTACGAACATGGAATTTGAGGGCGAATTACCCGAAACGAGAATTGCGAAAAATGTTGGCATTGGGTCCAAGGTGTGTTGTGTTCCATCATGTCCCGTAGCCAACAAGACGGTTGGCATTGGGTCCAAGGTGTGTTGTGTTCCATCATGTCCCGTAGCCAACAAGACGTCACGCGAAAATCCAAAACAAGTTGGAGTTGTCATAAAAAAAAAATCGTCACTTAAAAAGCCAGTTCAGAATTTGTATCCTGATAGATGTAATTCTATGCAACTAATGGCTTTATCAAGTCACGATCAGGGTTTCAGCTGTAGTTCTAAACTTACCCAAAGTAATACCAGTTTTTCAACTGTACGAAATGCGTCAAAAAACGTACCAGTAGACAGTACATTATTTGACCACAAAAACAGAAAAAGACAAGGAAAATGTGATTACACAAAATGTGATGATCGTAGAAAGTCGGAGGAGTGTTGTCAAGTCCTTAATCAAGTCCGTAGCAACAGGTCACCAGATGGACAAGGAAGATTTGAGGCACTTCGAAAAGCAGAAGAATGTAAGAAACTTGAAGAACGGCGAAGGGCAGAAGAATATAAAAAAGCAGAAGAACGCAGAAGGGTAGAAGAATATAAGAAACTAGAGGAACGCAAAAAGGCAGAAGAGTATAAGAAACAAGAAGAACGCAGAAGATCAGAAGAATTAAGGAAGCAAGAAGAACGTAGAAGGGCAGAAGAAGGTAAGAAAGTAGAAGACCGCAAAAACGCTGAAGAATATAATAAACTTGAAGAATGGCGAAAGGCTGAAGAGCGTAAAAAACTAGAAGATAATAAAAAAACAGAAGATTCTAAAAAAATTGAAGAACGTCGTAAGGCTGAAGAACGAAAAATAATGGAAGAACGTAAAATAGCAGAGGAACGTAAAAAGGCAGAAGAATACCAAAAATCAGAAGAACGTAGAATGGCAGAGGAACATAGGATAGCAGAAGAACGTAGACTGGCAGAAGAACTTAGAATCGCCGAAGAATTTAGAATGGCAGAAGAACATAGAATGGCAGAAGAACGTAAAATGGCAGAAGAACGTAGAATAGCAGAAGAACTTAGAATAGCAGAAGAATGTAGAATGGCAGAAGAACTAAGAAATGCAGAGGAACGTAATAAAACTGAAGAATTTCAGAAACTAGAAGAATGTATAACGACAGAAAAATGTCAGCAATTGAATGAATTAAAAAAAAATGAAGACTGTAGACATGCCGATGTGTCCCGAATGTTCGAAGATCACAGAAGAGCCGAGGAATGTAGGTTAATAGAAAAACAAGACAATTACAAAACACTAGACGAGTACAGGATGCTAGAAAAACTTGAAGAATGCAGAACCCTTGAAGAACAGATTAAAGCAGAGGAGTTTAATAGAAGACGTAAGTTACTTGATGATCAAAAAAGGAAATATGAAGAATATAGAAAATTCCAGGAACGCATGGAACTTGAACAATTTGAAAAACTTAAAGAACAAAATGACGAACAAAAACGTCTGGAGGAATTTCGTAGACGAAGAAAATCTGATCATTCCAGGAGAATTGAGGAACGGAGAAAACCAGACGAGGCTAAAACGTTTGATGAATACAAAGAACTTGAAGAAATCAGACAGCTTGACGAATGCAGGAAACATGATGATTCTATAAAATATGATAAATTGAGAAAATATGACGAAGCCAGAAAATTTGATGAGCCGATAAAATATAATGAGATTATAAATTATGATGAGGCAAGAAACAACGACAAGGCGAGAAAATATGATGAGTCAAGAAACAACGACAAAGCGAGAAAATATGATGAGGCAAGAAATTATGATGATCGCAGAAAACGTGATACAGCTAGAAATCTCACTGACCGTAAAAAATATGAGGAAATCAGAAAATTTGAGGAATCAGACAAATATGGTAAACCCAGAGAACATAACAAAGGCAGAGAACTCGAAGAAATTAAAAATCTCGATGACTATAGAGAATTCGATACTTGTCGACAACTTGATGCACACAGACATAACAATAAAGACTTCGATGACAGCAAGGCGTTTGAAAGTCTTACAAACTTATACTCAGGCACTAAGATTTACAATGACTTTAGAAAAACAGAGGATTTAAGAGAACAAGATCGTAAATCTTATAATAAAATTGACAACTGCGGTGTTCGAGGTGCCTATTCTAATAAGATAGATGACCTGGGCGCCAAGGAAGGCGGTTATTCTAGCAATACTAGTGACCACATGCCACGAGACGGTGGCTGCAAAAATACAGATTACCGTGGTTCTCGTAATAAGATAGATGACAGAGTAGCACGAGATGGTAGCTCTGATAATAAGACGGGCGAAAGGGAATTACGTGGAACTCCACGCGGTTGCCATAAAGGAGATGATAGAGAAGGACGAGACTGTAGCTGTGATAATAAGACAGGCCGAAGAGAAGTACGTGGAACTCCACGTTGTTGCCATAAGGCAGATGACAGAGTAGCACGTGACCGCAGCTGTATAAGATCAGACCGGAGGCGACAAGACGAAACTGAACGTGGCTACTGTAAAAGGACCGGAGACCGAAGGAAGCGAGAACACAGCTGTAGTAGACGAGCACATCATCGAAAGGAACGGGACGACAACATTTACATAATTGAAAATCGGAATAAACGAGAAGACAGCTCTTATTTAAGAACTAAAGAGAAAAAAGACAGTGAGGTAAAAGAAAATACGGACCTTGTCAACGATGTTAAATTTGAGAATTTAGATCGTAAAGCACCTGAATATGACGACCACAACAGTCAATTAGCAGACTCCCGAGACACAGTAACAGATGAGCTTCAAAAAAGTTCTTGTCCTTGTACGGAGTGCATCGATTCACAATCGACTTCAACTTGTCGTGACGTAACTTCAGATAGTCTTTCAAAATATCAGTCAGAGAAACCAATGGAAAAAGAAAAAAAAACCACTCGCTTTCAGGTCACGAAGGAACGGATACCAGGAAACAGAGGAGGGAGTAAAAACAAAGTTAAAGTAAAAGCTGGAAAGTCGCCGTACTTAGAGATTACAATTGACAGGCCTACTACTGAAATTTGTGTGGATATGGGACAGTGCAAGTCGCACTATTCGTCGTTTAAACCTAGCAAGATACCTAAACGCGCTGGTAATGGTCAACCATGCCATAGTAGGCAAGGATCAGACCCATCGGAAAAACAAAGCTTGATTCCTCAACCAAACAAGAAAACGCTGGATGACATTGCTTTAGCCCAGTGCGGTTGTTCCAGGTCATGCGCCAGCAGATTAAATGACACATTCTGATGACTGGAGATTTCTATACGTGGCTTATATGATGAGGTCATATAAGACGGGATTTAGTTTTATTGTAGGTAGTAGATATTTCAATAATTTTAGCTGTATGATTATTGTTGTAATTTATTTGATACTGTTATTAATATTATATTATGTGTTTAAGTATAATTTGGATTTTTAATTTCTATCTTTTCATGTTTCATTGCTAACAAATATAACAGAAATATAATGTTTCTCATGCACGAGGGTACAGGCTCGAAACCTATTAACGACATAGTATCCATGTGACTTTTCCGAGTTATATGTAGATACTTTCTAAGATTATTTAGACACCACTGACAAACGGTGAAGGAAAACATCGTGAGGAAACCTGGGCTTATAATTTGTAATTGTTAGTTCGAAATCACCAACCTACATTGATCAAGCGTGGTGATGAATGCTCAAACCTACGTGTGAGAAGAGACCTTTGGTCAGCAGTGGCCACATATAGGCTGTTGATGATGATTATGACATTTAAACACACATGCGCATTATTTTGAAAAATGAAACACGAACACAAATTAAAAATGCATTTTTACCATTGCTACTCTACTTCATTTCAATTATTCCACCTCCTCTCTCTCTCTTCATAACTAGAGAGGTACCCACTCCACATAATTCCAGTGAGTACCACACTAATCACAGTGATGAATTTATTGACTCGATCCGGGTGAATTAGAGGGGATCCTGAGTTATTGCATATTTTGCCCAGCTCAGGTGGCCGGCACCGCTGGTAATCTGTCATTACACCCAGTAGCCACTTTGCGAATTATGTGTCGGACTTTTGTGGTAGGCGTTTTACAATAATACACTCTTCTGTTGTTTAATGAGTGAAAATATACTAATTATGACCTCGTACAATCAGTTTAAACTATATTAATACTTACATAAAATGCATTTTTTAATTGAATTTTAATTGTATTTTTTAATGTGATGTTTATTTATGTGTTTCATTTATTTTTCTTCTTTTTCTGTTATTGTAACTGTTTGATTCTCTTTGATTTCTCTTCTTGTTTCTTTTGTGTGTGTTAATGTAATTGGTGTGTATAATGTAAAGCCGTGTTAACATCATAATAATAAATAAATAACTTCACGCCTGTCTTCCATGGAGGTAGGCAGAGATTAGGGAACGCCAATTACTACGATTCCTACATACCTCTTTCGCTTCATCAACAGTCGTCAATCTTTTCATGCATGCTCGTCGGTGACTATAGACTCGTCATATAGTGACCAGATTGGCGATACATTAAGGAAGGGCCAAATTAAAAATACCCTTAACTATATTAATAGTTTCACATTTCCCAGTTTACTGTTTTCTAACTAAACAATAAACAAAATAAAATTGTCTCCTTTAATAATTTTATCAAGATTTAATAATTCAATATAGTAATTGAATAATATACCATAATTTAATGTGATAACTTGACATATTTTTTATTGTAATAATTTAACTAGTACATAAACACAAATTAATGTTACAAATATTCAATTAGAATAATCCAAAATATCATAAACTTATTGTAGGTACACTATTGTACTTGTAAAGTATTGTAATTTAAAAGTAAAATTTAAGTTTTCTTTCCACTACTACTAACTTAGCAACAAATACTATAGTCTCATTCTTTCGACGTCGATACCAACTTTTTACTAAGAACTTTTTAAAAACTCTCAAAGTGCTATCCGAACTTCTGTAGCAAAGTTCTTTAGCAAAAAATATTTATGAACTTGTTACCTAGTTTACTCCCATTACGAAATAGGGACTTCTCTGAACAAAGAATATTATATTACCCTTTTACATTTTTTGAGACAACTCATAACATAATTAGTGATAAACTGGGTGTTACATTGTACAGCGGCATTTAAGCACATTACGGCAGATAAATCACAGAGGTACACCTCTGCCTACCGCTTCGGGTATAAAAAGCGTGATGTTATCTTATGAAGATACTACGTGGCAATAAAAATTAACAGTAGCTAAAAAAAATAAAAAAGACCTATACTTACTTCACAGTGTGACTTACTTACCATAATTATCTTACACAAAAGTACCAAAACAGTCCTAATACAATAAAAAACGTAAAACATATTTCCAAAAATAGACAATTAACTTATTCACAGACTAGCGACCCGCCCCAGCTTCACACGGTTGCAATATGCATCGATCTATTAAAAAACCGCATCAAATATATCCGTTGCGTAGTTTTAAAAATCTAAGCATACTATACATAGGGACAGACAGACAGCATACATATCCGCCATCTGGCCGATAGCGACTTTGTTTTATACTATGTAGTGAGTGATACTCCTCAGTTATGGCGCAGTAATTTACCCCTCAGAAACGGGATCAAACAACTAAAATCAGTTACAAATAGGTACAAGTGTATTGTAATTTAGAAGACCAACGGTGTAGGGTGACCACTCCCCAATAAATACTGGAATCGGGTAAATTGGTGCAGTGTTGTGGGATTACCACGTTTACCACCAATTGTCCGGATAATCCCCGATTGACAGGGATTATCGGACAAATTACCCCTGTTCGTATTTAATTTATAGGCGACCTATTAAAAGGTTATTGGAAGACATCTGTGTATAAAGTAACATAATTATAATAAATCTGTGAGTGGAACTTCTAATCATGGAGGATCAAAAGTTTTAAAGATGCAATTGGGATGATGACAGGGTATGAAAATTAAAAATCTAACTAGTCTGTCAGTTAGGTAATAAAAAATATTAGACACGTATTTTTTTATTTTGTTGTACCTATAATAAAACAATACTTATATATAACGAATCAAAGTTTAGGAGTCGGGGCTAAGACGTCATTTCTACGTATAAAATGTACACGGAACGCGACATGTCAAATCAATATATCGTCTAAAGTATTCGTTCCAGTAAAAAAATAAAAAATACATGTCTAATGATTTAAAATAATCTACCAGACGAACATTAAAATTAAAATTAGGCATTTACCCTATTCAGCCTATGTTAATACGAGCCATTAAAGTAAGCCATACTGCCATAGACACGTAGGTAAGCAAAAAGGCTATATACTTGGATTTGATCAATGTTGATCACAGTAGGCGTTGTTTAAATAAGGGCCGATTTGCAATCAGCAGTTAATTCGTAACTGTAGAATAAAATTGACAGTTGACAGTTTTTAAATATGGAAGAATTGTCAAATATTCCAAGTTATTCCTCAATTAAAATTTACATGGCGTTGAAAAAATCTGCCTCTAGTAATTACACAATTTTCTAGGAGATTTTGAATGTGCTATAATATCACAATCATAACCATGGAACAAAATTATAAGTAGGTAAGTAAACTAACATAAGCTTCTCCTTCGGATATATCATCAAGTGTGGGAGAGCCATGCTTCGGCACGAATTGGCCGGCTCGACCGGAATGATACCACGGCCTCACAGAAAACCGACTTAAAACCACGCTTGCATATTGTTTCGTCATGTGAGTGAGGTTACTGGAGGTCCAATTATCTCCCTCCCTAATCTCCTCAATCCCCGAATCCCCAACGATCCTCAAATGCCTAATTTCCAAAAGGCCGGTAACGCACTTGTACCGCTTCTGGTGTTCCATGTGTCAATGGGCGGTGCCGATTGCTTACCATCAGGTGATTAGTCTGCTAGTTTATCTACTTATCCCATTACAAAACATCTCCATATACGTATCATATCTAGTTTTATTTGTTTTTGTTCGACACCATCTACTTTCCACCAACATTAACAAAATGTCCCTTCATAAGCAATGGCCTAAACCCTCGAATCAATCCTTCATCAATTGAAATGTTTAATACTTGGAGATTAATGTGTTCTAATGAAATAAACATAATACTTCAGGGCTCCAAGTTCAGGCCTGATTTATAGGCTGGACCTCAGAACGGACTTCGGACCCCAGGATTACAATGTCCAACACTAATCTCCCTGATAAAGTACTACGGGTCGGTTTTGTAAAAGTATGACAAATTAGATTCGGTTGTTTTTTCTGGATCGGACGTGTAAAATAATATTTTGTGTTTTAAAAATTATTTCCGTTTGGTCTGTTGTGAAATATTGTGTGTAAATATGTTCCCGTGAGTAAAATTTGGTGTACGATATTGTTTTTAATTGTTTCCTGCTTAAAATTTAGCAAAATCTTACCTTCATACAAAGACTCTTCGTTCCATCAAATGCTACCTATTATAGGATTGCCTCATTGGCCGAGTAGTCCTAAGGGGTCTCGGGTTCGATTCCGGGGTCGGGCAAAGTATTACTGGTTTTTTTTAGTCTCAGTAGTAGTATCGAGTCTGGAAACGTGCCCGGTATATGGCAATATCACCCTCTATTACATATACCGTGACTTATAACATATCTAAATAATGAAAAGTGGGTGTTACATTGTACAGTAGCATTAAGGGCCGTAATGTACAACCTCCGCCTACCCCTTTGGGGGTAAAAAGCGTGATGTTATGTATGTCTACCTATTATATTACTAACAGGTCCAAATCAAAAACTTTGATATTAAAACATCAATTAGGTACACAAAACCATAGCTATCCAACAAACCGCAAAACTAAACAAAAAGAATAATGAATTTATGAACTCCCTTATCAAGACAAGAAGGGACAAAAAGAAGTATATCTTAAATTAACCCGTTGACAAAGCAATTGCCGCCCCTGTCGGCGGATTGGGGGTCATAATTTAAGCAAAACCACCCCTAACCGAACAAACCCAAGATTTTACACTGATACCCATTTGTAACCCCTTATCTGGATGATGGAGGAAGGAATGGGTAACGAAGGATAAGGAATTGCTGTACCCTGAAGAAGATTGTAACGTCAGAAGGGATGGTGGGAGGTTCGAAATGGTTGTGCTTTTGGATATCGGGCAATTGGCTGCCGCGAAGCGTGTCTCGGGTTCCGGATCGTTGTTCCAGGTCTGAGTGTGTACTTGTATGTTTGTAAACGCACCCACAACAC